TCGGGGTTGGGTTTTCGTCGCTTGGCAACGACTTTGTAAAACAAGCCAATGCTCTTCGTCAACTCGGCAACCAGGTTACCGTTTGTTTTTTTTACCTCTGCTTTTCTTTTGGCGGTAACCATAATGCTGGTCGAGTAGATCATGTTGTGCGGAGTGGAGAACCCTCGCTCCGCGCAAGGGGGATGATCGCACCACGTTGTGTTAAAATGGTCAAGCACCCTCGAGGCAGTTACACAGTGCTTACAACTGTCTCTGGAAGTGAAGTATCAGATAATAAATGAAGTCATACGCAGCTGTCATCCGTACGCAAGGAAGTAAGCACAAGATGCCGAACACCCTTAGCAGGATGCAGCGCACCCTTCATGCGACTCGCCGAATACCTCACGGCGCTTCGCGCTTGGTGATGTGAGAGCCTGGTCCGGTGAGAACCCGGCGTGCTCCGTCCCGGCTTTGTAGGGATGCGAGGTCAATGGTCTAACGACTACGGCATGCACGACAATGAGTACCCCCCCCCCCCTCGACAACCGGAACGTGGTTGCTTCCTACTATAGTGCTGTTGGATACGATACGAACACAGGTATCACAGACGTGCTCGGAAACAGCTGACAGCTGCGGTGATTGACTGCTGGCACGGAGCCCGCAACGAGGGCACCGATAACGGCAATACCGTGCCAGCAACAACATAGACGACGATGGCAGTAACAACAACAACAGTGACAGCAACAGCACACACCTCCGGGTAACATCGACTAGTACTAGACACTACTAGACTTATACCTTGAGCTTTTCCTTGAGCATGGCCGCGGTGTAGTCGGCGTACTCGTCTTGCACCTGGGTCGCCTTGAACGCCTCGAGTTCGGCAGGATCTCTCTCGATCTGAACGAGGTAGATAGGAGGGAGACGGTGGGGCGGTGGGGGGCAGTCGAACGTGGTTGGCACATTTGACGACGTACCGACCTCTAATTCTTGACAAAAACGCACCGCAAAAGAATACGATGCAGGTACTGCTGTACCTTCATTGGACACCAGTAACAGCCAAGACTCCCATGCCCCCAAGCCTGACCGCGCACACAGGCACTAGCTGGGCTGTGGAGAAGCCGACAGACAAAACAACCCTCCACATGCATGCATGCGCACCTTGAAAACCCGTCGAACCGGAAGCTTTTCTTTCGTCTTGGGGTTCATTGCCCCACCAAAGAGAAGCGTCTGCGCGCCGCGCGCCGGGGGGGTTGGGGGGGGATTGGAGGGGCCATGCAAGTATTAGGTTTCAACCTACGGTAGAAACAGAAACGACGACGACGACGACAAAAAAAAAAACATGGGACAGGACGGTGCCTGGAAAAAAAGGTCTCATGAGCTGCTGCATGAATCAAGATGAAAAGTGGTTGTCGCACACAAAACGCGCCGCTCTTTCAAGACGGCTCCTCTTCTTCGGACAACCGAGATGGACACGAGCCCTCACAAGAGATGAAATTTCTCCAACGAGCGCACGCTGTGTGTGCGGCGTCAGGAGAGCGCAGAACGCAGTAGCAGTCGCAAGAAAAAAAATGACAAAACAAACAAGCACACAAAAAATTGACAGAATTACCGTACAAGGACTCCAAGGCAGTTGCCGCCGTCCGCACACCTGAATCTGTGTGCTTGACGACGGGTTGAGGGTCTCCGCGCCAGGCTGTATCTTTTTCACCCAGCTCAGGAATGTCTCCTGCTCGAGCAAACGAAGAGAATTTCCCGCATAAACAATGGTGGCGTTATCTCTTCGACATTCGTGCGTCATTATGTACGTCTGCGTACGTCGGCCTTTTGGTGTCGCTTCAGGACACAAGACAAAGCTTTTTTCTCGCACGGTGTCGATATATCTCTCATACACATACTGTTAGGACTAATAATACAGGCAGAGGAAGGTACGGGCAGAGAGAACGGAACGGTGGTTGATGTGAAGACAACAACAACATCATCGTGGTGCGCAATGTACACCCGTACCTCGTACCTACACCCGTACCGTACCTCGGCCTTCTTCTTGTCGTTTCGGGCCTGCACTTCGATGTCCTTCAGGTAGCCCTTCGCCTCCACGTAGATCCCGGTCCTGAACAAACACGAAACACACGCACACCACCAAAAACAACCAAAAACAACCAAGAAAGGCACACAAGGGTTAAGAGGGAGCAGCTTCTTTAGGTCCAGAGATCGACGCCTTGCAACGTACGCGTAGAGAAATCGAACAGGGCCTCCCACCTATGCACCCTGTGGCAACGATGACAACGACCCCAACAGCAACAACAACAACAACAACAACAACAACAACAACGACAACGACAGCTACAAGGAGAGAAGGCAAGGCGTGTGTCTCGCGTTCGCACCTCTCCATGTCGGTTAGGAGCTCCCCGAAGGGCACGTAGTACATCTCGTAGAAGTCCAGCATGGTCATCCCGTCCTTCCACGGCATCTCCCTCAGCTTCTGCATCAGTTCGCGGTGCACCAGCCACGTCGCCTGGGGGGGCGGGGGCGTAGAAGCAGCTTTCTTCGGTTAACAATCATGCAACTTCATGCATTCCTTCGCTCTCTTTCTCTGTCTCTCGTCTATCTCTGCCTCTATCTCGTCTCTTTCACCCCGCCCCACCCCCCTCTCTCTGGTATCTCCTCCTTCCCTTGCCCCCCCCTGCTCCCTCTCCCCCCTGTCGAGCCTCCCACGATTCCGTTCCCCACCCTCTCTTTTCTCTCGACGGCTCAATTCCCCTCCTCCCAATTTCCTACACCCAACTCATGCTCTCCGTAGATAACGCTCACAACATAATTCGCCGCTACCGTGATATTGTTCTACTCCTTTCTCGGATCACATCACACTACATCACACCACGTCGCACCTGAGCGTCGTAGGCCGAGTACTCGATGAACCTGGGTCTAACCTCCGGCCTTGTCTGTATCTCGTCGATCGGCGGCAGCACCAGAAGGTTACCCGGCGTACCGTCCTTCTTGAGCTTGGGGATGCCGAACAGCTCCTTCATGGGCGTCTTCCGCTGCCCCTCCCCTGCCACCGCGAAAACAAATCACCCGAGGAAAACAATTCGGGCGTGNGGGGGGGGGGGGGGGGGGGGGGGGGGGGGGGGGGGGTAACTCATATTTTGCATGCTTCAGTTGTTAGACCATATTATACTGCATGTGCCAAAGACCCACGCGCACGGCTTTACACCATACACAACCAGCAACAAACACAGCAGGGTTTTTTAAGAAAGCCGCTGCCCACAGAAGTGCGGGCTCGCGGATGCGCAAAACTCACCGAGGAGCTTGAGAGACAAGGCCTCGAGCGAGAAACCGGTGTCCCCGGCGTACTTCTCCATGCTCGTGTCCCACAGCCTGGCCATGTGCATCGTGTCTCCGGCGAACCCGACGCAGTCGATCCTTTGCTCTTCCCTGTTGTCCGGCGAGTTGAACATGACGTGCCTGTCGAAACCATAGTTGTGCCACACCTGGGGGGTACCAGGCAAGGAGACAGCCGGGAACGGTGGGGGGGGGGGCGTACTCATAGTCGTGCATGCCGTAGTCGTTAGACCATTGACCTCGCATCCCTACAAAGCCGGGACGGAGCACGCCGGGTTCTCACCGGACCAGGCTCTCACATCACCAAGCGCGAAGCGCCGTGAGGTATTTGGCGAGTCGCATGAAGGGTGCGCTGCATCCTGCTAAGGGTTTCGGCATCTTGTGCTTACTTCCTTGCGTACGGATGAGAGCTGCGTATGACTTAATTTATTTTCTGGTTCTTTCACTTCCAGAGACAGTTGTAAGCACTGTGTAACTGCGTCGAGCGTGCTTAACCATTGTAACACAACGTGGTGCGATCATCCCCCTTGCGCGGAGTGAGGGTTCTCGACCCTGCATAACATGATCTACTCGACCACCATAATGGTTACCGCCAAAAAAAAAAAAAAAGGAGGTAGAAAAAAAACGGTAATCTGGTTGCCGAGTTCACGAAGTGCATTGGCTTGTTTTACAACGTCGCTGCCAAGCGACGAAAACCCAACCCCGATCGGGTGTGTGTGTGGGGGGGTACCCATTGTCGTGCATGCCGTAGTCGTTAGACCATTGACCTCGCATCATTACAAAGCCGGGAGAAGAGCACGCCGGGTTCTCACCGGACCAGGCTCTCACATCACCTAGCGCGAAGCGCCGTTCGGCGAGTCGCATGAAGGGGAGCGGGAAGGATTACTTGATGCTCCCCTATCTCAGCCGTGTTGCAAGTCACACAAAAAGCAACAAAAAAAAATGACAAAAGGGGCTCCGCGAAACTCGACGGTACCTACCCCGCGCGGGTCCCCATCATGTGTTGCCCTGTAACACCATTTTGTGCACGCCTTTCTCACCGCCGGTGCTCCCCACGCAGACGGCTACGTGCTATGAAATCAGCAGGATACCTCGAGCATATCATGGCGCAGACATCTGTTTTACCGTGGTTTCGCTCTGAACCTGGCAAATGCCGTGCGATGAAAAAGTGAAAAGAGTTGCTGCTTCACGCCCGTCTCGCAGCTGTCCGCATGAAAGTTCACGCTGCTATGCGCTTGCGAAGGAGCTGACGAACTCGCCCGAGACTCCGGCAGAGTGGATAACGTAGGCATAGGCAGCATCGAGGGGTTGGGGCAAAATTCTGGATCGCCACCACGAGCGTCGTTCCACCGTGAAGCACTCTACTTGTATCGCCTATATATCGACCGAACATCACCCATGTGTCTGCCTCCAATTTCGTTTGGAGTTCTCAGGCAACATCTCCCCGAAATTTGACCTTGAATGCTCTATATACGCCTCCAAGAACCGATCCAGCCCAAGTTTTGTATGGCATGTGAGACTACAAGACGACACCGACAAAAACAACAACAACAACAACGCTGTGGAGACATGCCTAAGGTTGCTTTCGAGGGTTGGTTACATTTTGGACCGCAACAACAGCTGGAGTTAGTTGTCGAAAAACGGGCCGTCCCATGCAGGAACTCGGCCACTGCTGTGGGGGCTCGGCGCGATCGATGCCTTGTGGTGATGAAATACCAAAAATTGCTGTCTGTGGGGACTCGACACACGGATAATCTGTGCGTCTGGCCAACTGCTGCAGGGTGCCAGCACAAACACGCCCGCGAACACGCCAACAGAAATGTTTACCTTCGTCGAATACTGCACGGGGGGCCAGCACAAGCACACACACGCCCTCCCATATACACCTTCGGAGCACATCCGCAGACATACCTTCTTGTGCCTCTCGCTCGCGAAGAAGGGGAGGAACTCCTCTAGCGTCCCCGCCGCCCCCCCCAGGTTGTCCACCCACAAGATCTTCCCGGGACCTTCTCCGAAGTCCAGCTCCGGCCCCCCGTAGATCGAGATGCACGTCACGCGCCCGTGGCCGACGGGGCCATGATCCTGTTTTATGCGTGGAGGGGAGGGGGGGGGCGTGCTCTCATGTTTTGCATGCCTTAGCCGTTACACCATTGACCACGCGTCCTCGAAAGGACGGAGCAGCATTGTTCCCACAGGACCGATCACCGATGGTCAATCGTTCCTTTCTNGGGGGGGGGGGGGGGGGGGGGGGGGGGGGGAGGTTCCCGCGAAAGAAGGGAGGCAATCATAGAATCTTTCGGAGGCGTTTCGCGGAATCCGGTCCACGTCCACAAGTAGAGAAACGTTCACGGAAGCCTGCTACCTACCTACAGGGGAGGTGGGTTTGTAGCCTGCTCGGGATATAGTAGCAGCACAGGTTGGTCATGTATCAAGCCATGCTAACATTGCAAAATATTTGCCGGGACTCTTCTCGGTGGATAGTAGAGATCAATACACTGTGGATAGTAGAGATAAATACACTGTGGATAGTGAAGATTAATACACTGTGTTTTTGTAAGGAAACTGAAAAAAAAAAAAAAACACCACGCACGCAGGCACGGACGCTCAACCTTTCCTCGTGGCGAGAGGTGTAGGCTTGGTTGGTCTGCCAGCTGCTAAAATACAGCAGTAGCGCCGGAACACTGGCACCCACGCAACCGTCATGGCTGGCATCTTCCAACCGGATACATAGCCGGGTATCCGTATTCGCTTGTCGCGGTGCTCATGAAGCACACACACGCACTACAGGGCCTACTAAAATAGAGAAGATAAGGTTAGAACGTAAACATAACCCCACAGAGAGACTACCCGTTCAAGATATAACCTCAGTCGAAAGGGATGTGGTGAAGTCATTTCAGGAAGTGGATCGAAACCGACTGGAGACTGGGCGTATTTTCAGTTTGTGTAAGCCTTACACTGAGTTATCAGTGATGCCAGTTGGTGCTAAGAACAAAAGCATCTGCACAGGCGGATAGATTCTCAACAAGTTCCCTGTAGTTTTCTGCTGGGTCGACGACAGAACTATCCATTTTTATGTACTGCTTCACCTTGAGATTGATCTCAGAGACCTCCGTGTCACAGGCGTAGAAGGCATCCGGGTTATCCATCAAGATCTGGACAACCTTGCGCGCCTTTTCCCTCCCGGCGACGATCTGCAGACAAGAAGAAAAAAAAAACAGGCAACGAACGAGGCTCTTAAAAGTCCACCTTATACATTAGCCAACATGAACCCTACGACTTCACGCACGCTCGATACCTCGTAGATCCCCCCAAGGTCTTGGGGGGTGGCTAACCGAAACGCTCAGCAAATGTCGAATGTTCCCCCTGCCGACAAAGTGCGAACATTCCTCTTTCCGTTCGTGTCCCTCTCAAAGCACTCCCTTCCTTTTCTCCCATCTTTCCGCTGACACTATCCCCGTCCTCTTGCCGCCTTCCTCAACAATCGAACCCACCCCCACCCCCGACCCCCCCCGGTGTTTGCCATCGGGGTTGGGTTTTCGTCGCTTGGCAACGACGTTGTAAAACAAGCCAATTCACTTCGTGAACTCGGCAACCAGGTTACCGTTTTTTTTTTTTTTGCCTCTGGCTTTTTCTCGGCGGTAACCAATGGTGGTCGAATAGATCATGTTGTGCGGGGTCGA